CGAATTCTTGTGTGAGTTTGCTGATCATTTATTTAATTTTCGCCAATGCGGAGGCCGATTTTCATGTTTTTCTGGTGTCTCGGACTGCCGTACTTCGACGCTTTTCATGCATATTCACATGAAAATGTTTCGAATTAACCTCATTTCTACCTGTTACATCATGAATTGCGCCATTTCGATCACTATCTGATATTCATGACTACTTGAGATGAAAGGATAGACAGACTCCGGGGCATTGCCGTTCAGAGTCTGGTTTAGCTCCCACATTACCTTGCGCGCTCGACTGATCTTTGTCGATTTCTACGTCCTGCCTGTCAGCACTCGCCAGTGCTATTAAGATGTATTTAAACTTCTTCCTTAGCGTCAGTTTCACTCCACTACCTTGGAGTGCAGATTCTTGTGCAAGGTTCCTGCAGCATCGAAGTATTGATCTTCGTGTTGCTGCGTACTAAAATTTCAATACTTAAACTGTCTTGATCATAATGTGAACAGGTCTTTTTTCAAGGGTCTCTGCAAAGAAGCTTTTAGGTTGAATTTCCTCAAATCGTAAACCTATGCCTTGTATTGGCTGTTTAGTAATAATTTTTTACTGTCATAATTTTACTTATCTATTTAATGTTGCTTGATACTGTAACATTTTTTGCTTTATACTCCGTCTATTTCTGAAGACATATCGATCATGACCGGAAACGTTTGAGAATATTTATGTGATAAATTCGATATGCATTGCCACCCTGTAAAGGATTTTTGCAAATTTGAACTAGATATTCGCACAAACAGTCGTTTCGTTTTTAAACATATTTTTCTTATCTTTCATATAATGTGAGTAGTTATGGTATAATAAATCTGTTAAGCGTTAGCAGAATTTACTGAAAAGTTTCGACAGCTTTTCCTTGTTGCTTGTCGCGGCTTTAAGGTCGTTTGCCTTATTTTCAAATAACATAGAAAAAATGCAAAATAAAATTTATCTTAAATATCTGACGAATATTTTAACTCATTTTTAATCTTGCTGGTAGTTTATAGGTCAGAAAAAATTCTGAGAGCGCCCCCGCAAAGGATGAAGATAGAAATACGGACACAAAAGCCTTGCTGGCAACCAATGTTGAGAGTGACCGTATGATATTTCGTGAAAACTTAGTTGTTCTCGATCATGATAGCAATTTGTGGCATGTGTTGGTAAAAGGAATGCACGTTCGAGACGGCAGAGGTGTAAAGACGCCGTGGATGCCGGGAACAGTGATTACCAGCATGGCATGGAAGGACGACACGTTTGTTTTTGGCGACGAAGACGGCCACCTGTTGGTATGGCAGATCGAAGCCGGCTTCTCGAAGGTAGCCGTCGGTAACCAGAAGAGTATTATCAGGAGATTGCAGTTTTCGCACATGTCCCGCGACTTCACACTGCTCGTGTTGAGCTCTGACGGACTGAGTCTATGGAACGTGGCTACGATGACGTGTTTGTCCCATCTGCCCAGCGTGCGACTAAGTTTCAAATGTCTCTCGGTGGACATGGCCTCGAACGAACGATCACCAGTGTTGCTATGTTCAGATGGCTGCCTGCGAATCTACGACGCTAGTTTTTCGTCGTCGTCGCTTCTTCGGCCGTACGACGAGGAACTGGC